AAGGCGGGGGGGGACGCGCTGCGGGGCCAGCCCCGCGCCCCGCCGCGGGGCGGGATCTGGCCTAACCGCCCGGTCCTGCCCCCCCCCACCCAGAGCAGCCCTCCGGGGTGGGGGGCGGAGGGGACGGGGAGCGCGGGGACGCGCCCGGCGGCCGTGTCAGCCTCAGTTCTGTCTCATCGTGCAGCCTCCCGCTTCCGAGAGGGTGTTTGCTATCCGGTGTGCATGACTGAGAGCGGGACTGGAAGTGCCCCCTTGCATGGTGTTAGGTCTCGCAGTACCTAATGCAGACATTGCCTCTTGTTTGGAAAGAATGTAATGAAATATTAACACTGTAAAATTATAATTAATAGCATGTAACTGTTTTTCTTTTGCTGTTTTTCTGCTTTTTCCTACCATTTTTGTGCTTCCTGCTCTCTTCTCCCTTCCATCACTTTGTTTTTCTTCACTGTTCTGTCTCCTCGTCCTGCTTTTTTTTTCCCCCCCTTAATTTTGCGCACCTAAAGGGTGAGATACTGGTAAGTACCCACATAGCGTGATAGTGCTGGTAGATGACACCCAGTGATGGACGTGGCCCTGCCAGAAAGACCTTTCAAAGCTAAAATGACGCCTCTCGCCTCCCAGAATTGAGTACGCTGATGGCAGAGGGGGGACAGGATTCCCCGAGGGGAGCAACCGGGCGCCGGGGGCTTAGTTAGAGACGGAAATTGCGGCTGTCCCCTTCATCCCCACGCCTGGGCTCTTCCCGCGGCCAAAAAAAAAAAGGGCTCGGGGCTGATCCCTGCCCGTGCCACGACATCGGGCTGTCAGCGCTGCCTGGCATCTGCCTGTACTCGTTGGGAACAGGTATAGGGAGAGCTGGCTGCTGGGATTCAGGGCGAGTACTGGTTTTGCTGGGAAGCAAGAAGCCCAAATCCTTGGGTTTTAGCACAGAGCCGCCTGCCGCCGTGGCGGGCCGTGGTTCCCGTCGAGTGGTGGCGAGGGCTGGAGAGAAGCGGGGAGCCGCGCTGCCCGCGCTTCGGGCAGGCCCGGCAGGTAGGAAATTCACCCCCCTGTTTGCAGCGGCTGGCCCCGGGGCTGGGGGGGGGGTTTTTTTTTCTCCCTGCCCCGAGCTGCCTTTCTTGGGCTTGGCGGTGGCTCCCCACCTTGTGCCGGCTGCCAACGGGTTTACCAACGCCGCCGGCGGCGCGCTGCACGCGTGGCGCAGAAATCCGGCAAGAAGCCCTCTTCTTCCGAGGTGCCTCAGCTCCCAGATGTTAGCAGCTGGTGGAGGCCAACTTTGGGTGCCCGTCAGCTGCTTCGAGCCTCGTTATTCAGCCAACAGAGTTTTTCCTCAAGCGTACTCACTTCTGGGGAGGCGGAGGGCAGCGTTTCTTCCGAATGGAAGAGAGATTCCCCGTCTGCGGTCGAGCGATCCCCTCTGGGGCGCTGGAGGGGGGGAAGCAGTCCTGAGCCCAGCATCGTGCTGGCGGTCCAAGAAAATGGAAGTGTCTGAGAGGGAAGCGATCTCCAAACCCCCGATTCGGGCGTTACAGCCTCGGGTATGGCCTTGGTCCCTCGGGGGTGGCCTCAGCACCCGGACGGCTCCCCGGGGAAGGGAGCCAGGAAAATCATTTGGCTCCGGCAGCTGGGACGGGCGCTGGGCTGGCGGATAGAGCCGGAAGGTTGGAGTCGGCTGCGGGTGAAGTTCCCCGAGGCCAAGCACCTCTAATCAGCCACACGGTCCCACGAAACAGCGGCTGCGGCTCGGGTGCTGGGTGCTTTCCTATCTCAAAAATGGATTTTATGAGGCTGCTGTAATGGCCCGGTTACAGCGAAAGGCCGGCAGCGGGAGGGACGCGGTGGCGAGGCAGCCGCCCCGCCGCAGCGCAGGCAGCGCCCGTCCCCCTCTTCCCGGGAAGGTTTGTACCTTCTGCTCTGCTAAACCCCACGATGTACCAACCGCATCCGCAGCTCCGGCAGCCTGGGAGGGCCCCGTGCCCGCTTCCCGTCCCTTCCAACTGCTCAGACACTTCCATTTTCTTTTGGCACCGTCCAGTTTTGCTGCAAAACCAAAGGAAACCCCCCGAGGGCCCGTCTGTGCCTCCCACACGACGATTTCTGCGCAGGGCCGCTCTCCCATCGCTGGCTGTGTGGACGTGGTCGTGCTGGGTGATGGGAAGGTGGAGATCTGACAATTAAGGATGCAAGGCGCCGGCCTGGTGCCGGGCCGCTTCTGATTCGGAGCGGGGCAGAGCTCTGGAGCCCCTCTGCAGGGGCAGCTTGCCCGGCTTACGAGCCCGAAAACCATCGGTGCTCTCACCGATACCAGTCGGTCTTAAAGGAACTTTCTTCTGGGCTCGCCGCTGTGCTGCTCGGTGCCAGATGCTGTGGCTCAGCCTTCCTCTCTCCTCCTCCTCCTCGGCCTGCCTCTGGGGACAGAGGAGGAGGTGTTCTGGGTCCTGCCTGGAGCCAGCGCACGGCTGGGGTGTCTCTGGCTCTGCAGGGTGCCCTCCCCTCCTCTACCCTTTAGCAAAAGAATTCAAATCTTGGCTTTTCTCTAACTCTCCGGCTCCCTCTACGCTACCCGGGCCCTCTCCCCATCCCAGGCCCTAAAGGCAGATTCCCTGTTCCTTAAAATCCCCTCCAAAACTGTCCCAGCTCCCGCCAGAGCCTCTAACCCGCCTCGCGGGACTTGCTTTGCTGCTGAA